TTGTCAGATATGTATAAAATCTTTGTTAATTTACATTCATCAATTTGATTTTTGAATTTTGGTATTTTTAAAATTTAAAATTTTTTAAATTTAAATTGAAGATTTTAAAAATACCAAAATTCAAAAATCAAATTGACGAATGTAAATTAACAAAGATTTTATTTATACATATCTGACAAATAGCAGCAAGGGGATTCTGATATATATCGGGACCTATTAACAACGGAGAAATGAACAATTAAGAAAGCTGGTGTTTTTAAATTTTAAACTACGTGTAGTGTAACAGCTATGTGAGAGAAATACAACTAATGATGGCCCTTTATGGCCGAAACATGTAGTGTAGAAGAAAAGAAGACAAAAGAACTACAATAAATTGTTGCACTTAGGACAGAGCTTGTGTCATACACTGTGTAGAGTGTAACAGGATGCTTAAATATTCATTCATTCATTCATTAGTACTCTGTCAGACGACAGGTCCACAGTCTCTTCCAAACAGTTCCTCCACTTAATGCGATCTTCTGTTTTTTGGAAAGAGACTATCCAGGCACAGTACAGCAGCCGTTCAAACCACTCTGGTCACGCCTGTTGCTATACGAACTTGAACCATCTCGAGCATCATTTGCTCTGTGCTTCAAGTCGCTGCTGATGACGCTGCTTCCGGCATCAATTTTTGGTGTCTCTCTTCGTCTGATGCCTACCCTTTGACCTGTCCAGCAAGGGAGGCCCTGCAGTAGCTACGCTACCGCTGGTATAGCTCTCAGGGTCCTTGGCATACTCAAACCCCCTCACCACGATAAGGTGGAGACACCAACGAGGGGGGCTTAAATATATTAGTCACAATTACATCACAACCCGTTATCACCATTTCTGCAACTGTACATTAATTTAGCTCAGCATGCTTCTTACCAATACATAATGCTTCAAATGTAGGAAGGCAGAGATGACACAATTAGAATTAATGTCATGTGCAATTCTCTACCATTTCAAGCAAGCAGCAAGCACACACGAGCTTCCCAGTGCCTATGAATATCCTGCTATCAACTTCCCACACTTTCGTCACTGCAATGGCTTTCCACTGTTGCAAAAGTATATTTAAACCAATTTGAGATTTTCATGGCAGTGACCATGAAGAATGCCGTCTTCTGGGATGTGGCGCAGTGTAGATTCTGCGTTTCAGGGGAATGTATCATCTCCATCTTCAGGGTAGATACAAAGTCAGATGATATCATGCATACGTGTTATCCTCCTACATGCAAACATAATAAAGCAAGAGAGGCAGTTTTTTGGATAAATAAGTAGAAGTAACATGGTCACACACACCAAACTAACATTTCTGCCTATAATACTGTATTAGTATCTTCCTGTTATGTTTCAGTCTTGACATGCATAGATTTTCACTTCAGTCTTGACATGGACAAATTTTCACTTCAGTCTTGATATGCACAGATTTCGGTGGCATAGCCTCAAGGGAAAAGACTATCTGAAAGAGCCATGCATGGATGACAGGACAGCAAAACGGATGTCAGAGAAATTCTGTAACTTGCTTCTTATGGCTGCACAGCAACAGCTCCTTGCTCTTATGGCAGAAAAGTCACTTGAGGTCCCGTGCTGATGGGTCGCGGACCTGAAACAATTACATGAATAGCATTAAAAAACAGACAGATTCTGATTTGCATGCGAATCTGCATGTACGATTTCAAACCTGATCCAATTTTAATTCCAACAAAATGTAAAACTTCTATGTGGCTTGAAATAAAAAAAAATCATGGTTACATAACATTCCTGCATGATAATATCTGGCACTTCCCCACCCGCCCCCCCATACAAATATGTTTTCTGGTATTCTATGGTTCAGTTTTTGAAAAATACAATGCTATGGTAAACATGTGAGACTTCTGACAAGTTTGTCAATATGGATCAAGTATTTGCTGGTATACATACTGGCCTAAAGAAAAGGTACTAATAATACCCACATACTAAATAAATTTTCTTCATATATATCTCCATATTAGTACACTGCAAAAATATATAAAAGTAAAAACTTTAGCTCCTTAAAAATTGGAAATTAATTTCCATTCCATTACAAATGCAAGCCATGCAATACTGAACTATTTATATATAAACATTTAATGAGAAAACTCATGCTTATTTTCCATTTCCACATTCCTGTCCAACCAAAATTCCAAGTCAATAACTATATAATGCTCTGCTCTACAATTCAGTTACTACAGAGAGAACACGATGATATCCATAGCCACATTTGTAATTTTCACTGTTTCACAAACTTTTATGTCAGTACAGCTTTTATAAAATGCAGTTATCTAGATCAGAATATTAGCGGGGACCAAATATTAGTTCTAGAAGAACTGGAAACAAAATGGAACAAAAATATTGAAGCACAACAAAAGTCAAGAGCAATCAGATAATAAAATGAAAATGCTGATCTTCCCCAGAACTTGAGACATGTATCAGTTCCATCATTACCAAAAAAGTGTTAACACTCTGCTCAACAATAAATAAAACATGGCTACAAACCACTCAAAAAACTTTGCAAGCCACGGAGAAATGATGGGAGTCAATACAAACATTCATATTGCAAAATTTTTTGCAAAGAAAGCAATTCAAACAGTGAAGCTTCACTGCTTACAGTTCACTATGGCCAAGCTCATACCAATACAGAAAAGTGTTTAACAAAAATTTGTATCTACTCTCCTGCAACACCAAATTTCATGAGCCAAATACAAACACATCTATACTGTGAAGTGTTGTTTCGTAAATACCTGTAATAATATTAATCTTTTCTTCTAACAAATAACGAATCATTTAAACCTGCATATCTTTTCTAAAAAGTCCTTCCCTCTCTCTCCAACATATGATCCCATAATGGCATACTTCAAATTCTTAGTTTCCAACACGAATTTTAGAAGTATTTATTATTTTGCACATAAAATCAGCATCTATAACTTTGTCATCACATGATATATGTTTCGTTCCACAGCATACTAACTGTGAGTCTATTAATTCTTTCAGCCACAGTGATGGGCTTACGTTTACAGCAACCTCAGAGCTGAAGCACAGACACGTTCAATCCTAGCCCAATTGCAGCATTGCAGTTGCACTTCTAGTATTAACAGTCTATATACACAAAATACACAAAACAGTTAACCCTTTAGCGTGGTCATTTAAATTCCGCTGCCGTGTCTCTCTGGCGGTAATATTTTCAGCCGACCATTTAAATTTTGCTCAAAAATGATTTATTCATCATTATTCTTAAATTATATAAGATAGGAACATGAAATTTTCACCAAAATGATCTTAAAAGATGGTTTTATAATCTTACCTTATAATATGAGCGCCCGGTATCTCGGCAATGGAAGCAGGTGGTTTAGAAGTTGAGCAGCGTATGGTATGCCTTGAAGCATTCTTCTAAACACAACGCTGCCTCACATTCACCACACCAATCTTTCCTTTGGCCCTTTTTTCCGCAAACCACACATCTTCTGTGCGGTCTTGCCTTCTTCCCCGTGGGGGGAATACGCTCAAGGAAATGTCTTTCCGTGAGTCGTTTAGGCGGCGGCTGAACTGACGGACGGCTGTGGACAGGACGACGTACCCCAGAGCCGTGCTTTTCCACGAGCCCTTGCACTAGGGAAAGTCTGAACTGTAGAGTGTCCAGGTTTTGTTTGTTTGGGTGGGACCGACAGATTACCATACTGTTGTGGATTGCTACATTGAGTAACCGCTTGAACAATTTTAGGTACCACTTGGTACCCTTCTTTAGTTCAAGCAGGTAAGGTTGAAGCTTCTGGTCTTTGAGATCCACCCACAGCATGTTTTTGTTGTAATCGCAAACAACCACAGGCTTTATTTCTGGCTTGTTTGCACGATTAACAACCACACGCATATCGTTTTTATGGTATTTGGATATCATGGTCACCCTTTTTTTGTCTTGCCATGTCTCCTGAGTGCTGAGCACAGTGTTCACCTTTTTTTCAATATTTTTCTCTAAGGGAGGGACGTTTTTCCTGTTGGGACATAAGGTTCCAACACAGTCTGTATTTTTAGACTTCAAGAAACGAGCCAAATCAGAGGAGTTATAAAAATTATCCATCCACACTGTGTGTCTGCGACCCAGAAGATTTTCTAAGAGTGTTACTACAATTGCTGTAGTTTTGTTTGTCTCTGCAGTCACATACTGATTTGTTAGTTACATTTCTTGTCCAGTATAGACAAGAAAGGACCAAACATAACCACAACTAGACTCGCAGAGTTCAAACGTTTTGATACCAAATTTCGCAGCCTTGAGTGACAAGTACTGCTTGAAAGACAAACGACCTTTCCATAGGGTCAAAGATTCATCTATGGCAATCTTGTGACCTGGAAGATAGAGAATTTGAAATTTTCTATTCTGGTGCTCAATGACGGGATAAATTTTGAAAAGTCTGGAAGGGCCTTGGTACTCATTTTGCTTGCTGTTGTCCGAAAAATGCAGAAACCTCATTATGGCCTCAAGTCTTTCCAGAGGTAAGGTCTCTGCAAAAAACGGAGTGAACAGCAGGCGGTTCTTTGAGTAATAAGACCTCAATGTAGGCCTCTGGTTAAACGCTTTCAGAAATACTTCAATATTTATACATTACAACCATGTCACACTATTTCAACGTACGTAAATATTACCGAATATTACTAACTGATTAAAAAAAACTGTAATCTCCACTGAAATTAACTAACAAAAATACCACCTACTTAGCTTTCCCACGCCATGCTCACTTACAAATCAAAATTAATTCCGGTAGTGACCTCCCTTAGACAACACAACAACCGGAAACTAGCTTCAGATTTCAAGCAAGCAACTGATTGTATTAAATACAATCGGTAACATATGTGCAGTAAATGATATATTAATGCAACAGGATGCTTAAATAGAATATTAGGAAAAGAAAACATTGGGTGCATCCGTTATTCTATGACAATTTAAACCGAGGCACTTCCATTGTTTCCAAAGAATTTAACATGGAAGTCTAAATCGGTCTAAATACTGAACGGTTGCTTAGAAACGCTTTGGCCATTCACGTTACAGTATTTTAAATACGATTCACGATTAAAGCGCGAACTGTGATATTCCAATTCCGAAAAGCAATTAGCACGCTTAATGTTTAAGATTTTGGAAGATCAATATAAATTGTACGAAGTAGGTGAACATGATTGGGGAATGCTTACGATTTCTGATAACATACTTGAAGAACTATCGGAACTAAATTGTAATAAACATATGAACCATTTAGTTCCTCTAAGCCATTTTTTCGAGCAACCACAAGTCAGTGAAACTGAGGTAAGGAGCCAGTGTTCCAATGGAAGGTTTGGTTTAGGTGTGGCAATATAAAGTAGACGCTTTGAAGATGTACAAAATTTTAGGAAGGAAGTGGTATATAGAGTGCAACATTGTATTTACAGTAGGTAGTGGGAGCATGGGACCGTGAGTGACAGCCCCTTCCTCTGTAACTCCAAAGCCTCTGCAAAACTTTTATTTAAGGAAAGTGAATGGATTCAGTAATACACTATTAATTCATAATTCTGAATATACTCTCTGAATGTTTCATTTGTTTTCTTTTTTTAGGCTCAGTCATCTCTTTGGGATGCAAGTTTCATTGTGTCTAAAGTGAAAAACAAAGATAATGATGACAGTATACCTTCTACTGTGATGGAAACAGAAGCAGTTACTGGTGATGGAGATGAAAAGAGAAATATAGAAGGAAGTGTAGGCATGTTTGTTGGAAACCCAGGTAAAGATGTGAGTGAACTAGAAGTCTGTAGTTTTATAATCGAGGGTGTTGTAGTGCTTAGACACGAAGAAGATAATCTGATGCTGAATGTCATTAGTAACTGTTGCATATTTGCTATGAGATGACTTACCCTCATTAAATTAATTAATGGTAATGCAAAAGATTTTGTATATATGTATGAATGCATGCACGAACACTTCTGTTGAGATCACAAAGTCTTTGCATACCAAAAGAGATGAAAGATATCTTGTACAATTTATGTTACTCCTACAGATATCTTGGGTTTATTGAGGTTACTTGTTTCTTCACCTATTTTTAGATCTCTTGTTAAGTACAGATGATACATAGCATCAGGCTGGGATAATACAGTAGTACAATGGAACCTACCTGTCAAAGTACATAGCATCCAATCCTAGAAGACTGTGATCTTCAGAATATCATGTGATTGTACTTTTACTTCAGTCCTTACATCATTTTAAATTTTCATAAAAGCTTTTGTGTCTTCAGCTGATCATAATCTGCTTCAATATTTTATTTTAATTCTGTCATTTCAATGCAAACAAGCTAACAATGTTACATCTTTGTAAAATCAGTTTATTTTATTGTAACTTAAGTTTGATACTCGTTTTTTTTAAATATTTTTGAGGTGGAGATGGTTTACGAAATGAGTCACTAAACCTGATATGCCATTTGGATGAGCAGATGGCCACAGTTGAGCAGTTGAGCAATGCCTCAGAGCAGCAGGTGGCGTACGTTTTGTCAAATTTGTCAGATGCAGGCCTGTGTCACGTGTGCACACTTTTGTGCTCAATGTCGGCAAGTGAGCAGAGCAAACTTGGGTCACTTGTATGTCGACTTCTTCTTGTGCCCAGGGTGGGTAATGCCACTGATCTCAAAATATACAATAAACTTTTGTGCTCCTAATAGATAAATGACTGCTTCTTGTATGAGATTTGAGACTTTCATAGTGGTAAATATTCATATAGTGACCCTCCAGACTATGACACCAAGAAGCATGATAGGTGGTGACAACATTTGAGAGGAAATTGGCTGTCACAATCTTCAGGGATGTCTGCCTTGAAGAGGGAAGCTGCTAGTTCCTCGAAAATGTTGGTAACCACCTATGAGACTACACAGAAGACCACAGTCAAAATGTCACTGCTGTGAAATTCTCAGATCTTACCCATTCCATTTGATGCTAATAACTTACACTGTTGAGGTCAAAAGGTTAAGTTGACCCTGTGCATAACTAATTAAGTACTACACCATGAACACGTATGAGGAACTGGATATTAATATCTCCATATTTTCTTGACTTCAGCACTAGTTGGAGGTGAGTGGTCAGCTTCACACCCCAGCTGCTTTTACCCCCCCNCCCCCCCCCCCCCGAGAAAGAGCCCCTGGTACCCATTGGATAGGAGGCTGGGCGGACCCCAGAGCCTGTCTGGACGATGTGGAGAAGAGAAAATTATTGGCCCCATGGAGACCCAAACTCTAACCCCTTGGTCGTCCAGCCCATAGCCAGTCACTGTACTGACTAGCACTGTTAATTAAACTAAGCAGGCCATTTGTTGGAATTAAGAGTGCATTCCTTTTTTTTTTTTAAACCTTTAAAGAACTGTGTATTTCTAAATGGTTTATTACTGGATGCAACACTCCACTGGATTGCATCCCTGCTTTATATGCAGGTGTTCAAATTTTAACCTTGAGACCAGTTATTCTTGCTGAAGGTGCTGTTGGTTTTCTTCAATCCTTGCAGGTAAATGCCATTAAAATAGCTCAGTTTAGGTAACAACAACTTCCTTCTAAGGCCTTTCCATTTCGTTACTCACTCCAATCCTATAATTAACACCATATAATCTGCTATTCAATGTATTGTGAAATAAAAAAATTATCAAACATTATTGAGATTTCTAACCCCAGAACTTCTTGTTTATCACCTGAGCTGAGTTCGGTAAGGCTACTATATAATGTTTCATTTATTGTTACAGAGATTTCTTTTAATGTACTGTCTGCATTATATTTGTTGTACAGCTTCAAGAAAATGGTCGTGAATCTTGCAGTCGTACTGTTATAAACGCATTAGTGAAGTTCACCAAGTGCTTACCGCATCTCAGCTGTACTGAAGTTTTGCTCCCTGTAATGCTCACACCACAAACCATTAATGAAAAGGATACTGTACTGCAAATTATCACAGAAGCTCTTAGCTCTCAACATAAGGAAAACTTATTGAGGTAACATAACAGTTTTCTGTTTATGACGACAAATTCCCACCAAAATATCTTAGTATCTGCCTACCTACATAAGTTGGCTGTTATGTGGCAGTGTATAATGTAATATATTGTGACATGAAAGCCAGAAGAGACAGCTGTTGCTAGGCAATGGCTGGTAACCACATGCCCACACCAACAAACACGCAGGCCATCACTAGGCAACAGCCTTCTTGCATATCATGCAACAACAGAGGAGCTGTATATTGAGGACCAACAGGACAGACCAGTCAGTTGCTGTCATGAGTTAGTTGTGAGACAGTCGCCATCCAGCAAAGATCTGAGACCAGAAGCAGAGGAATACCCATTGTTGGGAGCTATTACTGGTGAAGACACAGAAGACTTCATGTGTGATGCAGTACAGTGATTTGTAGTGTGTGTAGATCAATGAAATTTTCATAGTTACCATTAATTACAAGTTATAAGTGTTCAATAAATTAGATTATCAATCCAGACCCCATGTCTCCTCACTAACACATGCCAATATGTTCTTTAAATAAAACATGAAATTTATGAGGTTCATTTTCTTCAAATTTCTAGTGTTCATCTGATAACATAAATATGATATATGACAAACCCATTGTTTTTAAGAGAACAGCATTGCACTGCATGCTAATAAAATGCACTAGTCTAGATACATTCTGGGATGTGACACTGTGTAGTCTGGTAGATTTTTATCAGCGTTCTGGAGAAACTTGCTGCCTCAATCTTCAAGGTTTCTACCTTTAACCATTTAAAGACTGAATTTCCTCTGAATATCATATAAAAATTCAGTTCATACCTCAGAGGAAAAACATTACATCTCCACTACAAAGATCAGCCAGTTTAGTTAAAGAATTGGTGTCTATTGTGACAGTCACATGAAACACTTGCTCTATGAGCAGAGTGCATAGTTTTAATATGTTAAAGCTTGTGGTACATATAGTAGCCACTGGGCCATAAAGGGTTAATATGGAGGCAGAAAGTTCCTCTGAAATGTTGGTACCTTTCTACCAGCCCACACAAAATCACATACCAGAAGACGGTAATCTTCATTCTTTCAACTTGCAAACATTCACTGCAGTGTATATATATACTCGTATCATGTTTAAATAACCTACTTACCAACTAGCCACAACTATTATAGTAAATCAGTGTCATAAAATAAGCAAAGAAAATACAATCCGCCTGTGTTCTTGATTTACCAGTTGCTAATTATTTTCAAGGTTATATTCATTGTTGAAAAACTAATATTTCAGTAACAAATACAAACCTGATTCAGAAGGAAATTAAGAGGAGATTGAATTTGGGTAATGTTTGCTACCAACCATTCTAGAACCTTTTGTCTTCTCTTCTGATGTCTAAAAACATAAAAATTAGAATATGCAGAACTATAAATTTGCTTGTGGTTCTGTATGGGTCTGACGAGAACAAGGCTCTGAGGATAATATTCGAACAAAGAGAGATGAAGTGACAGGAGGTTGGAGAAGACTGCATAATGAGGAGCTTCATAACATGTACTCTTCTCCAAGTATAATTAGAATGATCAAGTCAAGGAGGATTTGATGGTCAGGGCATGTAGCATGAATGTGGGAGAAGAGAAGGGCATATAGGATATTGGTGGGAAAGCCATAAGGAAAGAGACCACTGGAAAGACCAAGGCATAGGTGGGTAAACATTATTAAAATGGATCTCAGATAGGATGGGATGGTATGGATTGGATCGATCTGGTTCAGCATAAGGATCAGTGGAGGGCTCTTGTGAACACTATAATGAACCTTCCAGTTCCACAAAATCCTGGGAAGTTCTTGAGTAGCTGCACAACTAGCAGCTTCTTAAGAAGTGCTCAGCTCCATGAAGTTATTAGTTTTATTATAAAGCCAACAGAAGCTTGAAGAGATTAAGTAATATTTATGCAAACATTCTGTTTCTGCCTTTTTAGCAATGAAATTGGCTGAAGTGGTAATGCTTCAGGCTTCTGTTCAGGAGGTACCTGTTTTGAATCTTGACCTGGGAAACCAACTATTCTGAGGTCTTCATAGTTTTCTTCAGTTACTCCAGGCAAATGCCTGGATGATACCTTTAGTTAGACCACAAACACTTCTTTACATCTTTTCCAATTCACTATTCAGTGTCATTCAATCATTTGGTACTAAACAGTCTGAGTTATTGGCAGCATTGTTAAATAACCTAAAAAAAATAAATTTAGTCTTTCTACTTTCTATATGCATTACTTAGTAACTTATCAGCACACAGGCTTATGCAATGTAGTCTTTAGGTTAGCAGTGAAAGGGTTAACACCTTAAGTGAAAATATATGCTGTTACAGGAGTTTTCTACAATGTGAACCAGAGAAACTTGATGAATGGCAGATACGTCTCCTGCAAGAACTGATATCCCCGACATGTGGCGATACAGCAAGACAGCAGCTAGTCCAGCTGTTAGTAACTTCAGCCAATGACTTAGCACACAACACTCGCTTTACCAAACTCCTAATTAGTGTTATACAGCAGCTAGGGCCTGGAGCTCCTCCTGATGTCCAACAAAAGTTGGCAGAGGTGGTTAGCAATAATAAATCTGTCTTGAAGAAAGCTGCCAAAAAAGCCCTTCATGCCTTGTAGTTTTTGTAGGAGCTCATCTACTTTGCCTTGGTGAACTTCAGTCAAAGATCAGGTTAGCTGCTGTGTCTAAGAGTTTGTCGTCATTCCGAGTGAGTACTGAGCATCAAACAGGACATTCGGAGAAGAACTTGTTTTCCTTCCTTCAAATGCTTTATTCTATATTATGAGGCTGGCAGGTATTTTAAATTTATAATTTAATATAATTTAAATGTATAATTTAGTTATTCATGGATTTGTGAGGATAACTGAGGGGCTATTTCAAGGAAATGGCAGCTCCGGTCTAGAAAACTGAGATTAACAGCTGTGGAGATTCATTGCACTGACCACACGACACCCTCTATCTGCTAAAGTTGACACTAACTTTGCTGACAAGTGGCGGTCGCTCAGTCAGTATAGTTCACTTGTGGACTACAGGCCATGGAGTTTCTTTGTTTTTTTTTATGTATTTGTAACATTTCCACATGCACAGATTTGTACTTCATTGTATTTACTTGACATAACCTCAAAGCTTTACACTGTCACAATGTTTATAACTGCTGTTATTGAATCAGAAATGTTTCATGCAAAATTTGTATATATTGTGATATCTCTGTATAAAATTTCATATAGGTAACTCCAGTGCTTCATTTATTATTGTCATCAAACAGGAAGCTAAATGCAGGTTTTGCATGGCTATGTTACTTATTTCCTTATTGCTTATTTAACAGCGCTATCAAAAGCTTGTTAGCATAAAACTGTATGATGATTAAGGAGCAGTGAATTGAAAATTATATAGAAGGAAGCAACTGTGACCTATTTCAAGGTTCTGGCATTCATCTAGAGGGACTTGGAACACCATCAGTCATTATATGAAGAGTTCTATCTCCTGGGATACAGTGTCATGTAGTCATGTAGTCATTGATGTCCTTTGGAAACATTGGTTGAGTTTATTCAGGGCATTATATCCAAGAAGACAGAATTCTCTGTAATTACAACCAAAAGAACCTTAAATCCTACATCAGTCAGGATGAATAGTTGAGTCCCAGTCAAGATTCGAACTGCACACCCTCCAAATGCAAGTCAGAAGTATCATAGCTTGAGCCAACTTAACTGGTTGACTCTCCTCATCAAACAACCAATGAAAAGTAATATTCAGTCACAATGTGATAGCGAGTCTGTCCTGAAAGCCCAGCTGTGAAGATCATTCCAGTATATTCTGTGATTTGGTGGGGAGTGTCTCATGTACTTAACAGTCTAGCTGGATAGCCAATACTAGAACAGTAAGTTACAGAGGATGTGAATTGGTGGGGTTATACTGTAAATACATGGCAACAAGTTTTGAAGTAAACATGGACATCTATGGACAGCCATACAGGTTTGTTTGAAGTTTGAGGATCTCATGATGGTGACTGTCTTAGAATATCTCGCTGTGACATTATGTGGTCTGGTAAATGTTTAATGATGTTTCTGAGGAACATACTCCTCCATCTTCGGGGCTGAAGGGAACTCTTACTGGTTCTCTTAAGGCTCCTACTCAACCTATATCTGTACCATAGTTTCTGTGCTCAACTCTGCTTTCTTCTTGGCTTGATAACCCCCCCCCCCCCCTGTACTCATTGTACAGGAAGCTGGGTTGGCCTCAGAGCCGGTCTGGACCACATGGAGAAGAGAAAATTCTTGACCCTACCACATGCTAATACAAAACTAAAATTTTTAATCTTGTTTGTTCTACATTTATAAGGCATAAGAAGCACCAATCATTTTTTTTTGTCCATATTACATATACATGCAGGCAGCTTTTCTGACAGTAATTTAAGAGGTAAAAAGATCACTATGTTTTAGTTGCACTTAATATTCACATTCTGTTACCACTGGTGACTTCATAAGTTTTGCTTAGTTTCATGACATTTATATTTGCTTTAATCAGTCTTCTACTTCATCTCCAGCAACAACTATAGGACACTTACCATGATCAGTGAAACAAGTTAGCGCCAGGGTTTTCTTCTGCTATTCATGTCGAGATAGTGACGATTCTTTGCCATGCCCCGAAGTTGTGTCTGCTGATGCTGACGCACCTCATAGCTCCCTGCCAACATCATATAAAAGGCTAATGCTTGCTATGCTGTTATTATATATGAGTATGTAGGCAGACAGAGTTGGTAGCAGTTATGAATAGGAGCATAAGATGGCAGCAGTAAATGGCAGTACTTGCATCTGTATTTCTATGTCCACATTTGCAAAGGAGTTCGTAACACTTACTGCATATTGCCATCTTATAAATGTAATTGTCTTTCCACAACTTTTCATGTTATTGAGACCACATTTGTCTAACAGAATTTGATTTCATGGGCAAAAAATTATGTATTCACACAGAACTAGTTAGTGGGGTAATGACTTTTGCCACCTGAAATATCTACCTTATTTTTCATGTTACTGAAAAACGTTTCTGACAAAACTTTGCATTGTATCAAAGAGCATATATGATAAGACAAGTTTTTAGTATTCTGAGGTGTTCATGGAGATATCAAGGTCACTTTGAATTTTGTAAATGACATATTTTTTCAAAAAAAGCTGGAAGGTTTCAGGTTCGATTCCTGATGAGGTCACTGTTTTTTTTTAAATTAACCTAATCCTTACAGCCACACTATGGCTCTGGGGTCAACTGAGCCTCGAACAGTAATGAGGACCAGGAATTTTACTGGGGATAAAGACTGGCCAGCGCGTAAGGCTGACAACCTCACCACCATCTGTGAGCTGATTGTCTAGAAAATGTGGAAGCCTTGACATCTCACAACCTTATGGACCTCCACAGCGTGTTACAGGGATAGCTTTTCCTTTTAGTGCTGTCCAGAAGACAGCAACAAATTCATTGACATACTGTATTCCATAAGGTTGTTCAAGATCACAAAAGAGAAACAGCAAAATCTGGGCTTCTGTTGTTTTTTCTTCTCATATTCCTATTTATTATTAGGCCCGACTTACAGAATTTTACAATAAATGCTTAAAGTGATAACCCTGGACAGCAATACAGTGTTGTAAACATTCAATGAAAGGCTCACATGTATAAGGGAGATATTTCACCTGGCAGAAGTGATTGCCCCATCCTGTGATATACTATATAATATATGTGCGTCATATAAACTTATTAAACCTGTTAGTAACAAATGTAATAATGTAAAATGTTTGTTTGCCAAGACCCTTAATTTCGTTCCTAGTATCATATTGTTTTCCCCCACCTTTGAAACCTTTATCCTACGGGCATTTAAATTCCGGTATAGGCAGCCGTACGGAATATATTTAAATACCCGCGATTAGAAATCCGTAAAAATTGAAGTCACTTACTAAATTTGCTCCTATTTCTGCAATTTCTGTGATAAACGAACGAAATAAACACTGTTTTTTTCTCGAAAGAATATAGAATCAGATATTGTAATTTACAGATTGTATAAAACATGTTAAAATTTTTGCATTGACTCCAAAAAGAAATTTCCCAATTTTTTTCCTTCTCTGCGAGAATTCATACGTTCTGGACACCCCTGAATGCATCTGGTGGATGACGACACTTGGCAACATTGCAGTTGTTGTTGTGTCTATCAAGGTTATCTGAGTATAACTGACGTACCGCTTTCGGAATGTGGATAGCGGACAGTGAAATAATCTCAGTGTCTTACTTCGCTCTCAGCTACACAAAGTGTTTACTGTTATACGGTCAACTCTAGCATTCTTTATGCATGCGTAATAGTTTCAAGACACAGCGGAATAGGTCCGTGGCTGTAATGGTTCATTCGAAGTACTTTGAAAGTTTGATCGCAACATGACGTAATTCTATTAGAATAAGGAGTGGGCGAATGAAATAATCTCAGTGTTTATCGAGCTGGGCTGCACACTACGATTACTTTCCTTATACAGTTTCATTACACTGAGTGCTTGGTTCGTAACTGGAAGTGTTCTGTCTAGCTATTCGTCGGCAACCTGGGGACCACCACACCAGCGTGGCACGAGGAGTGTGAATAATTATTCAGGTGGAGCTGTGGGCAAACTGTGGCAAACAGTTATAGCATCTGTTGTCGAACCTGGAAATGGACAAATAAGCTATTTTTCCATCTCCTTGAGCTGAACAGTTACATCCTGTTGTCACACAGAGAATTTCGTCTCGCTCTTGTGCGGAAAATGCTGGAAGGGGTCCACCTCGCCATCAACGGCCAGGGGTCGAACCCCTGCCGTTTTATGGGAGATATCTCGATTATAGAAGGCCAAACCACATCACTGGCCGACTTCCTCTACTTCGCAATTGAGGTGTCGTGTGTGCTTTTCGCGTGGGAAACGAAAGACCGTCCGACCAAAGTGCGTGAAGTGCGAAATCGGACTCTGCATTTCCGGATTTTTTTGAGAATTCCACACGAAGGCAACATTCCGGCAGATGACGCAGGTGGGAAGACAGACCCTCCATGCAGATGGTGGCCAAAAATTACGAAAGTAGAACATCATTTTCTACGTTAAAATTTAATTTTATATAACGTCCGCACGCGCGGACTGTGCGACCACATATGGCGTCATTCGTACCGCTGCCTTTATTTTTGCGACGACATACGTTGTCTTTAGTCGTTTAAAGGTTAATCAAGAGGGGGCATGTGGTAGGGTAGTTGGTTGAGGCACTATGCTACAAGCTGAAAGATCGCGGGATCGAATCCCAATGAGGTGGATTTTTTCAATTTACCTAATCCTTCCAGCTGCACTATGGCCCTGTGGTCGATGCAGCCTCTAATAGAAATGAGTACCAGGAATATTCTTGGGGGTAAAGGGCAGCTGGCCCATAAGGCTGACAACCTTACTGCCATCTATGAGCCGACTGTCTAGAAAATGTGGGAACCTCAACATCTCACAACCCTATGGGCCTCCACGGCCTGTTACAGGGATACCTTTACTTTACTTTTTACTTTTACTTTGTTAATCAAGACAAACTGAAAACTGCTGTCATGACACACCAGTCAAGAAACATGGTGTGTGGTGTGTGAAGCGTAACTGTTACTGGATGAACCCCAATACACAATTTTCACTTACTAGAATGAGCACTTTTATCGATTTGTGATGACCTGATTCTGTGAAGGGGGCAGGCAGCTCTCACTGGACGGTTTGTGGGGAAGCAGCTACTGCGGCTCCTGGAATCAGGTATGAAATGTAATTAAAGAGTGTGCAAGGTGGATAAATCCATCCGTATGATCATGGATTCTTCTTTCAGGGGGGGTCAGCCAGGAAATTTAGTTACCAATTTAAATCTCTAAGATTATTTTTAGTGGGTGAACCAAAATGTTCAGGAAAGAAGAGTACACTTTTTAAATACTTTGTTTTATCAATATTTTATGTATTTCCTTCCCTTCTTCGATTTAGATTTCTCCCAAAAATCCAATGAAGGGGGCAGATGCCTGGCCCCTCTAAAAACAAGTTTGTGACAACACATATGCTTGCTACTACTTAATGCCAGGGGCACAGTGAGAAGGCCTGCCAATACCACATAAATTGTTTGGTGCAATAAACTGTGTATGATACATAAATAAAATAAGTTTTCTAAAAACACAATAATTTAAATTCCTTTATATTCCATTAATCACGTTTGTAACAATACATTCTTACACTTACTGTAACATTTTACGTTCAATTGTTCTCCTCGTAGCAGCAGAGAGTGGTTTCGGGACAGGCTGTCGTGCAGTTTGTTTGCGTATTCTATCCCGGTCAGCAGCAATGATTGCCATTTGTTCTGAAATAGGTAGGTTGAAGAATACTCCATGCAGAGCATAACATGCTGCTGTCACCTAAAAGAAGACAGAAAAATATAGCTCAGAAGTGTCATAAAAACAGCAAACAACCCCAAACATGGCTGTCTGTTGTACCACCACCACTGCCACCGCCACCACCAGGTCCTAGACAGCAAACTCTACCTGCTGGAAATGTGTTGAGAGGAATTTAAAAACTGTTGTCTATAACAATGAATACATTAAAGCTTGTAGTTACAAAATTACTCTTATATTTCATTTCATTTATTCACCTTCCATAAATCCTGTCAAGAGTACATTCTCATGCGGATGTGGAGATCATCCTTGTCACAGTCACAACTAAAGATTACAGTTTTCATCCAACAGCATGCGCATTTGTATAAAATACTGATAAGCATGTACAATATAATAAATAAGTTAATTTTAGTAGTAAAACTAATGGCAAACTTTATATAATTCGTACAGTTTTATGCAAGTCTATTAATTAAAAATTCAATAGTTAAAACAATGTCATTAATGAATCTTGTGTAACATACATCAATTATATAATAAATTGAAACAAAGACTAGTATACAGTAATATAAAAATTGTGTATATCTAAAATAAGCATCTAAAAACCAGAACACAGACTGACAACCTTGTCTTCCTTTAATTGTAAAGCAAGAAAACTACAGACAACTATACAGAATATGGGGCACAGAACAGTGTGGAAAACCTTACCTGCTGTATGAGGCGGCGATGCAAAGCAACATCTTCAGGTGTGACATCAGACCCACAATCATGATGCATCTGCAGTGCACACAACAATGTATCCCGAATAGTCAAGATAATGTTTTGAACATGAGCTGTCCGGAACAGTCTACGAGTCAGGAATCCGCGAGCCGCAGCTGTTATTCGAGTGGCTGCAACCTGATAGCATAATGTTATTATAAGTGAAAAATATCAATATGGCTATAACACAAACATGTAAAGTTTTCAAGAGAAACAGGACTCAGCACATTACTGCCCAATTTACTAGTTTGTCTCCTATGGTTCTAGACAACCAGCAGCACTATGAGAGCAGGAACAAACTGAAAGAGGGATAGGTGGGTGGGTGGATGGTGCATTAGCAAAGATCACAGTCTATTCATTTACAGGCAATCGGCTAAGAATGACTGAAACATACAGACATCTCACCTTTTCAAGATCACAGTGATTCAATCGAGGTGTTCCATGTAAAGCAGCTGCTTCCTGAACAGCTGGAAACAATTGTCTGATGCAAGGACTACGACCCTGAATGCTGTTGTTTTGTCTGTCCTTGGTGTCAACACCATTATACCCATTCACAAATAGGCTACTAGGAACAGAACCAGGAGGAAATTCTGCTTCTGTCCTGGGTGTTGATGCACTTTCTGAAGTTGGTAAATTTGGCACTACTGCAGAGGTACATGAAAGAGGAAGACCTGCACAATTAACATTATGAATGTCCACTTTGTTTTTAGTATTTTCTTCACCACTATCACTGTTATGTTTCTGTAGTATATTCAGGTCTGGTGGAACTAAAATTTCAGGACTTGTGCTTTCAGTTATACAAGGATGAAATGAATGTTCTGGTAGATACTTTTCTGTGCTCTCTGATTCTGATAACCTACAATAACTTCCATCTTGTAAAGCATTCTGGGGGACTTCTTTCACTGGCTCACCCTTGTGACTTGATTCGTGTAAATGTGGTGTCATTTCATTTGACCCTTGTGTTCTGTCTTGTAATGGGTCTTCATATAATCTACTGTCAATCACATTCTGTCCCACGTCTGTTGAAGGTGAAATACTTTCTAATCTTTTGAAATTTTCATCTAACAGAACACATTTACCATGCATGTCATGTGCTGATGTCTCTAAAGCGTCCACACTCCCCAATGACAAGCTTTTACTTGATAAATCAGAAGCAGCTTGATTAGCGGAAGAACTAAAACTTTCATTTTCATGTCTTGTCAAATGGTCACATGCTGAAGTCTGTTGTGATAGTTGATTCTGAGACCCTGGTGGATAAAATGGTGCAGAATAAACTTTACAGACTTCAAGCATAAGTTCATTCTGCTGCTGAAGAAAGGCCTTATGCAATTCCTCTTGTTCCATTTGCTGTTTTGCCAACAGAGCAGCCATTTGTTGGCTATGCTCAGATTGCAAGTGCAGGATCAATCCTTGTACATCCTGCCGAGTGGATAAAGGCACAGCCGTAGTTTCGTTTATTTTCTTTGGGCTTCCCTGAGATGCTATAGATGGGTTTTCCATTGGTATATCCTTCAGATTTTTTGTTGGGGACTTTTTCTGAGATATCTCTGATGTTTTAGTTTCCTTGGAAGCTGCTGATAAAATGATATTTTTGCAAATGTGTTTATTTTTCTTTCGCGGTGAAGGCTGTGGAAATGTTTTCACTGATTCTGTGGACACAGCTGATGGCAGACAATCCAGTGATGCAAATGGTGTCAGAAGCTTGATGGGGCTTGATGTGTTACTAGTGGGGAGAGAGGAATTTTGGTGTGGTTGATGATGAGTCAAGGAGGCACTTATGGCAGAACTGACAGCAGAAGAATTTATTTTCTTGCCAGAGTTTGTGTTCCTGTTGGGTGATGCCAATAATGAATTACCTTTCTTTCTGTTTGATTCCCATTTCATTCTGACCTTACTGAGATCGCAGGCTTTCCTACATGGTTCTGTTGAAATGTTTGAACTCTCAGTCATATCATGAACAGAATTCTTTCCATTCTGCATCTTCATGTGAGCCACAAGCAGGGGGCTTGGAGCAATCAATGTGTACGAGTTCTGACGCACAAGTCTTGGTGGTGTTGTCTCTGGTTTCAGAACGTTCCATTCACTAATGTTGTTCACTTCAGTACTATCAGAATCACATGGAAATGTATTTACTGGGCTCAAAGAAGCTTCCAAGTCATCATGTTTATCTACAGTCTTGTGCTGAAGCTTCACTTTAGGTACAGTAAGGCACTTGACTTGGTTTCCTACGTGACAATTAACACTTTTGCAACTTTCACTAAAATTACTGACATCACATGTTGCACAGTCTCTACCCACAGGATATGTCATATTCAGGCTATCTGGCTGGTCATGCCACACAACTACTTTCTCTGTCACACAGACATTCTCTTTGATTGAACTAGTTCCCAGCTTGTCATTATCAAAGTTCTGTATGCAGTTTTGTTCTCCAATCTGATCACTTACAGAACTATGATGTAAAATCAAATTTGGTTCACAGACGCTTGTCAATTGTAAATGCTGCCCACCGGAAGTATTTTTGGAGAGTAAAGATCTTTGCAGTGCCACTATGTTAGACGTACAATGAAGTTCATCCTGCCCCGTCCACTTGGAATTATGGAATGCTGCAACATCTCGGTCTGAGGATACACTCCCGCTGCTCCCTGAAGTGTTCATATAATGATTGAGGTCTGTGCTGGAAGTCATGACCACAGAACTCACACTGTCTTCCAGATTATCAGGTACTAAGAGATGAGGTGTGCTACTGCTAATATACGTGAACCCAGTAGTTTCTGCAGAACTGTTCCTTGAGAAAGTGCACATATTCATTACAGCACTCCTGTCTGATTCCAAAGTACTAAACCTTACAGACTCTTCATTGCCACACGATTCTGACCGTAAGCTGTCAGAGATGTCCACAATCCCTTCACAGATTGTCACAGGTTTACTCGAGTATGTATCCTTACTGATGCAAGGAACAGTCTGTGTGGGTGTATGAGTTTTATCTGTCTTCTGACCACACAAAAGGAATGTTCCATTTATTCCTGTTTGAACCTGAACATGTTCAAGTGGGTTTTTAGAATTAATTTGGTTTTGAGAAGTAAATGTTTTATAATTTAAGGATTCACCTCTTGCCTCCGACGCACTATTATTTGAGCCATATTTGTGTCCATGAATATCATTACCACTGACAAGAAATGTTGATTTAAGTTTAACATTTTGTATAACTGGAGTTAAAAAATTGTCAACGAGGCAGCGATGAATGACAGTGTTAATTTGCCTCTGCTGAGTACTTTGTACTAAGTTTCCATTCACATCACTGTTGCTTACTGCTTGCTCTAACCCCTGCTGATTACCATTCATGACACTTACATTTTTCTGTTGAAGTTCCAATACCTTCTTACCTTCATTACTGATGTTACCACGTTGTACCTTCTCCCATGGCTTGTATCCAGCATAATTTGAATCAAAAATACTGTTTGACAAAATGAACCCAGAGCTTTGCTCCATGTTCTCTGGACCACATTTGTCAGGAATGCTGATGTCGTCTTCTCCCCCATTCTTACTGTTCTGGGCTGTTGAATCTTTGTTTTCTAAACATAAACCCCTTGTATCTCTTACATCAACAGTTATACGCTGCATGCAATTTTTGACTTCATTATCATGCAGTACTACATGTTGCTGGGTAGATCCCACAAGCAAGGCCGGGTTACTGTGGGTACCATCCTGTTGGGAACTTCCTGACATTCTATTTGACCCTGACACTAAATCAGAATTTGTGATAGTTTTATGACTTCTTTGTTCTAATTCACTGCAAGGTACCAGAGTATTGATCTTTGTAGTGTTTAATGATGCCCTATCTTCTGATGTGATCATTACAGATTCTGCTTCACCGACAGAGCCACTGTCAACTCTTCTATTGGCACACAAAGGATGGTCACTTGAAGCATGTTCAGTGCCAGACAGTACAGTAACTCCGCTGTCCACACTGCTCTTCTTAGTGCTACTGTCCTTCTTTATCCAACCTTGGAGTCGAGCATCTACAGCCATAGCTAGCTCCCTGTAGAGCCGCATTTCTGCTCTGCGCTCAGGAGTCATCTGTAACAACCACAGTGAACCAGCAGAATTCAATGAATATTTCAAATACTTTTCACATACAACAAACCTCACAGGCCTATTCAACCAACAGTGTTCCTGTCTCAACTATTTCTTATAAATTTAAATCTTCAAATGATTACTATCAAGAATTTTGTTTGTGTGATTTTATATCTTGCCAAACTGAAGTAAGTCAAGAAGAGATCAAAATGCTAAACTGAAACTGTAACACAGACAAGCTTTCAGATGACAAGAATCATATTGAAACATTCTTATAATTCAACTCGGTAAACGATATGTCATACCAAATACACTTCATTACACTAGTAAGCTGTGTATTGTTCATACAAGTAAAACATTGGGTACTAAGAACTGAGGTGAAACAATGATAATTTTTACAAATTCATATATGTGTGGAAAACCACAAGAAACTAAGACAAGACCAGTCTCTGGACAAAGACTTAAACTTAGCAAGCCCCCCACCTCCTCCCAAGTATGACATAGTAGTGTTACTGGCCCAACCATGGCATTCAGTAGCATGCATATGGGGCTGGTCACCAGACCTAACACAATACTTTCTAAACCTCTTAATCCATCAATTCATTTGGGTTGTCATAAAGCCTAACGCAAAGCATCCTAATTTTATTTACTTACTTACTCATGGAACTGAGCCCTTCTTGAGGAGCCACCAATTCTATAGCTACTCAAGAATTTCACAGCATTTTATGGAACCTGAAAGTTCATTGCCGTGTTCATAAGAGCCTTCCACTGGCCCCTAACCTGAGCCAGATCAAACAAATCCATCCCATCCCATCATATCTCTCTAAGATTCATTTTAATATTGTCCACCCACCTATGCCTTGGTCTTCCCAGTGGTCTCTTTCCTTCTGGCTTTCCCACCAATATCCTATATATCCTAATTTGACAATGAATTTAAATTTCTGTAATTTATTTCCAATATTATAAAATATAAAACAACTCCATCCAGTGTGACTGCACAAAGGACACAAGTTAGGTTACCAAATTGTCATTAATGGATATGCTCTATGTACTTTCCTTGGACGGCCATGCAATATTTAAGTGGGTGTCTAAATTGACTCCAGCTGACTGCCAAGATTATCAATGTTATTCTTTGAATGCACAAATGACTCAATTTTTTAAGCCCTGAAGGTGAGCCAGCTGGATCATGAACACTTGCCAACATTAGCAATACCGTATAAAACTTGGGAAATGCCTCTCAGAATATGAAGTATTACAAAATTTCATACACTGTGTCTTATAATAGTCAAATCTTCCCATAATATTTCACATTATATTGTTGCATCAAATTCCTTTCTAGTCCAGCGTAAACCTGTTAAATTTTCACAGCATTCTTTTGTGGAATACCAACCTCAATTATTCAAAGTACATGTTATGTTGGATGTCATGAGATCTTATAACAAGATTCACATGCAAGATATAATGTTTTGCTTTTTTCTTATATGTGCTTAAATTAGAGACCTGAAATGTTGGAAGGCACGTGGTGGGTTTCTGTACATCACATCATCTCAGTACTAATAAGATCATAAGGAAACATTCCTTTCTTGTTCAGTTGTGTATTACTTTAAAATGTCCCTTAACCTACCTTACGTTAAATGCAAACGCATGTACATCTTAACTGTCAGATTACATCACACGCTTTTAAAAGTGTGTCAATTTTCGTGAGGACATATCTTTCGGTACAGTAATCCTCTGAAATGTAAGATATGATAACGTCTCAACTCACCAATGGAGGAATAATAGGTTTCCCATTTATTTTCATACAGGACACATATGATGATTTACTCCCATTAGACAACGTTCTATCCATTACGATTATCTGCAGTATGGTAAATAAACTCTATACTATTGTTAACAGAGTAACGCGTGCGAATCTTTCACTTAACCTTTTCCAATTTCTTATGGAAAGTAACGATCTCAATGCAACTCGTGAAAACATTAGAGAGAATCGATATGGAAAAAAAATAAACACATATTATGACTTCCAGAGTATGAAAACTAAACACTTAAAACTCCATTATAAAAATAATTAGCTCGCTTGTAGCAAACAACACACTTTTCAAAGAGGGCGCCTTCATAAATTTTGTAGTCCATTCCCTGACCAGAGAACGAGAGAACCACTGACTCTATGGTAAAACTTTGCGTACTCTGGGTATTGCAGTGCTTGCTTCGAACGCATGCTGACGTGGGAATGTTTGAAACGTTTCGAGCTTTTATCGATTCTGGAAATACATCTTACTTTTTAAAACAATTAAATTAGCGAAATGATGGAATTTTTCATATTTTCTGAACTACTCCAATTTCCGAAAATTGACAATTTGCAAATTTCGACTTTCTTCGCTTGTGAAAGTTTCAGGCTTTTTATGCGCGTTTGCATTTACACGGTATGGGTTTTCTTTGTCTGGTGTGCAGTCAGCAGACTTCAGACTGATTTTGTCACATTCATTTCAGAATTTCACAGCTTTTCGTATACTGATTAAAACTGAATATGTCAGCAATTTAGGATTGCTGATTTCAAATTTTAGATTTTTTAATTCCTTAAAACATTAATAAATGAAAATTATCTTATTTTCCACATTAGTGGTTTTCCAAACAGTATATTTTCTGCTTCTCAAAACTGGATCCAAATGGTGTGGGGTTGCATGGAATGAGTATGTGTCCACTGAGCATTCAGCAGCAAGTGTTGCAGACACATGACCTATTGCACAGCATCCTTTTCAAAATTACTTTTTCAAATACAGAAAGAATACAAATGTATCAATATCACATGTAATAATAGACGTAGACACATAGCACTTCAAGGGGAAAAATTAACTACAGGTCTTTAACAATAAATTAGTATGGTATTAATTATACAGTGTACAGTAAAATGTACAGATTATTTACAATCCTCCTTTCCTTGCAGATTCTTATTTCTCTCAGTGTAATCCATAACACTTGGGTAGATATTATATATAACAGTACACACATTAAGATGCTGGGAAGACACAAAGAGTACCATAATACTGAAATTAATTTTAGGCAAATAGTAGGTTATTCTAATGTAACCCAGCTGGGAATATAATCTAATGATGCCATCTGTGACCAATGAGTGAATGTATAGAGCCATATTTTCTTGACCTCGACACTTGTTGGAGGCGAGTGGTCAGCTTCATGCCCCCACAACTTTAATCCTGGTGCCCACTGGATAGGGGGCTGGGTGGGCTCCATAGCCTGGACGATGTGGAGAAGAGAAAATTTTTGACTTTACCAGGACTTGAACTCCAACCCCTCAATCATCCAGCCTGTAGCCACTTGATATACTGACTGTGCTACCCCGACTCCCATACATAAAATATAATAACCTTTACACATGGCAGACAAAACACCGCACCTACATCCAAGAATTACATGATAACATGAATGCACCCATGCTGCAGGAAAGGTTGCCCAAACAAGTTGTTTGGACAAGTAGACGATACCCACAAGAAGAATGGGATTTAACTGGTTTCAACTAAAATTAATTAAGGTTGACCTATTCCAATTTTTAATTTTGTAATTAAGGAGTTTGCATCACAATTATATGATATTGTGACATACCATGCAATGCAGCAGTTTCAGCATAGAGGTAAACACCTGATGGGCATGTATGGCCGAAACATTTTGTGAATGAGGAAGTAAAGTGCATTAGTGACATATATATTACATGAAATAACTGATCAGTTTGATAAAGGAACTCTTATGCACAAAAAGGCCATGTGGAATGTCATAAAACAGGAAACAGAACTGTCAAGGTGAAAATGATGTAAAAATCCTGTCATCATTTGACATAAGAAGGTGAAAATGCCATTTTGAGTCATTCATTTGTGTAACAACTGGTCATAAACTATAAATATAAAATACAAAAATTAAAATACTTTATGAATACTAATTTACATACCCATGTCCAATTTTTTAACAGAAGCTGGTACATATGAGAGTAACTATTTGTATTATCAAAGCTAATCAACAGAAGTGAAACCTCAATTTAGATTATGACCTCCTGAACAGGCAGACCACCTGATAAGGATACATAAACGTCTTAATTATTACAGCTTCACGTAGTGTAGTAAATTGTGAATATGTTTTGAAGAATATACACCATTCATTTTGAGGGCACCCTGAGGCAGTAAGTTCATTCAAAATGTTCATAACCACCTACCAGATTACAAGGTGTCATAACCCAAAACATTGCAACATAAATATTCACCAACATGATTTTATTTTATGTTCTACATACCTTAATAATGAATGCTTTCTTTTTTTCTTTCAAAAATCAATTATCACACACATCATTTCAGGACCATGATAGCACTGTTCTGATCTCACAATTTTGTGCACTGACCATGTTCTTATTAGCGACTGTAAGAAATTAAAACACAGAAAGTTGGGATGACCTCTAATATGATATTCATATCATGTTTTGTGAAAATCAAACGCGTCAAAGTTGAAATGGGAACACACATACAACACTGTAATATCACAAGCCTACTTTTTTCCCCTTACGGATGGACTATGGAAATGGTCAAGTTCTTAATGTAAGTTACATAATGCTTAAAATGTGTTCATAATAAGCTCTAAAATACTCTAAATGTATTAGGGAGAAAATATAAAAAACAAAATGGTGAAAACTGGTCCCTCTTGGATTTCCTGCTCAATCTGAATATGCATTTTTTTTTTCATAATCCCAACAGAGATAACAAATTCACATATGTGAAGGAATACCCAGGGTGACTGAACTAAATGGGAGCCTTTTCATGGTTTCTGTGAGTGCACAAGATACATCTTCTCAAACAGCATTTTAAAAATAATGACCATTTATAATACATTGGACTTCTTGTTCAGCATAATGTAGAGTAGCAGAACAGATAATTAAAAACAATGGACAATCCAAAAATTTTCATGCTTCATTCAAACCCAAAAATCATTGATTACTTCCTGCTTGTGCTATTGGTCACTAAACAGTGGACAAATACCTTTCCAATAGAAGAAAGGAACCCTTGTTCAGTGGTAGTGGGTCACCATGAAAAGCAATACAGAAAAAGAACAAAAAGTTGCATCAAGGTGAAAATCTAATGCACAACACATTCATTACGGGAGGTTATAATTATAAAATAAGGGATTCTGTAAGTTCTATGGTTAATCCACAATAAAGGGTGTACTCTATACATAAAAAAACTGTTTCAGAACGTTTTAAATATTAAAATAAGTTGGACTTTTGATACATACAATAAAATATTTCTTGTGATACCTTATACTTAACATACATTTCATCATCATCATCATCAATAATCTGTCAAGACGACAGGTCCATAGTCTCTTCCAAAACAATTCCTCCACT